TTTTTGTGTGTTTGTTGGTTTCTTTTTTTTTTTTTTTTTTATTTTTTAATTTGGGGGGGGGGGGGGGCAGATGCTTGGCTCCTCCCGCCCTGCCAATGAAGTAGTAGTAGGGTTGGTATAAATTGACAGAATTTCAAATGAGGCATGTGATTTTTTAATTACTTTTTATGATACTGTCACGTAATTGAGTGACCATAGACGGGGTTTGGATTCGCTATCGCATTTAGTGGACACTTTAATACACAACTCGTGACTACACTGTATAAGTCACTATCACACACAGACTAGTGTTTTCAGTCACGGTCTTCACTGCCCTACTTGGTAAATTATTCCAACGGCGAACTTTCCCCAGCTTCCTGGCTCACGTCCTTGCAGGCTGGCGGCCATCTCACATCGACCTCTTACTCTTCTAACTGCAGTGTCAAGACTACCTCGTAATGGCAGCTGGTCCTCGTTATATAGTCTCGGTACGGACGCGTAGAAAATACCGCTTCATTATTGCATGTTCTCGTGGGGGAAACGTGTCCCCAGAGCCGTTCCCTAGCAACGGCTATTGTACTGTCGCCTGTTTACACAGCTGTTACTTCTCAGTGAGTCTACATGCCACAATACATTTACCACTTCCTTCCGTACAGTGGATTTTACGCTGGAAACGCCGAGTCTCTACTGATACTGTATTCATAAAAATTTGTGGTGTTAGGCTACGTGTATGACGTAACACAATGACACCATGTAATCTGGCAAAAGTTTACCGATGTTTCGAAGAAACGTACTGCCTCCATCTTCAGGATCGAATAGTAAGCCAAGCAAGTACCAAAGAGAGCTGCCTGCTTCTTTGCTGGTTTTTTGCTTGATTTATTCTTAGACGCTGCCGCGACACATCTCTTTATAACATCTGTGAAGACTTATTGCAATACACAGCGTTTCATCTCAGAAGACAGTACTGTTCATGGTCACAGCTGTGAGAACCTCATTATTAAGAATTTCCCCCAAAATTCTGAAATTTGAAGGGTACGTGGGATTTATATTCGTTGAGCTGCTATTGAACGTATTTTCCTTATTTTACAAACTTCTGTCTGAGTATGTCCATGTATCCCCCCTAATTTTTCAGACTTACGAAATCACCTAGGAATCTGTCCCACTCCATAATTTTAGTGCTCTCTATGCAATCCATGTCCTTATCAATGAGGCTTATGAGATTACCTTGCTGTCTGTCTGTGTATCCTCCTTAATTTGTGTTAGGAGGCTTATGAGATCACCTTGCTGTCTGCGTATCCTCCTTAATTTGTGTTAGGAAGTCTATGAGATCACATTGTTGTGTGTGTATCCTCCTTAATTTCTGTTAGGAGGCTTATGAGATCACCTTGCTGTCTGTGTATCCTCCTTAATTCGTGTTAGTAAGTCTATGAGATCACATTGTTGTGTGTGTATCGCCCATTAATTTTTTTCTTTTTCTATTCGGCTCGTGTCATATCGGAGGAAAGTACGCGAATAGTCCTTCGCAAAATATCTTGTTATTCCTCTCATATTTCGGTTGTTAGTATCTTAAATCCAGCGATTCCACCCTCTCATCATCGCTCATTATCTTCGTAAACTTCGCAAACACGAATTCCCTATAGAACTAGAGGCAAGATGGAATCGTGCAAGAGATGGTGCAATAAGTACAGTTACGTTCCAGTCAGCTGCACAGAATTACGTACATAATCCACGCAAGTTCATCATGTTTGAGCCATCACCAAAGCAGACGCATGTTCAACTGATTTAACTGTTGATGAAACACTGCGTAAGATGTGCGGCGTACAGCTAAGGACATTACTAAAACATTGTCAGAACACCCTAAATTGGCGGTAATTGAGGAAACCAATTCGTATATTTTCCTTCCACAATGTCTGCTTGTCCACATTCTTCATCTCATAAATTTCTCAAGGAAGTCTGATTGAATTTTGTGCTAGAGGCAACAGTAAACTTATATTCGTAATGTCGGGTCTTAGGCTCTCGCAGAGGT